CACACACACAGACACACACACCACTGCTGACAACGAAAACTATTAGCTCAGCGTAGCAGCTCTGGAGAATCTACAGCATCTGTTATTTATTTGCATGAGAGTAGTGATATTACGTATCCGTGATTGTAATGGTTAGGGTTATGGCCCATCACACTGTGATGAATGTTGGTTTTTATCACTGATAAGTCATATTTTAGATGTGTGTGTGTGTGTGTGAGAGAGACGGACAGACTAGCAGAGGGAGATGGATGTGTTTCAGTGCCGGGGAGGATGAACACTCCCAGGGTTCAGGTAGAGTCCAGGTTTGCGGTCTCCGTGCTCGACAAGGTGTATGCTGAGCACTCAGTTTTGGAGGTGGTAAGAGGACATTCCTAGAGAACATGCTCATGTGTAGGCACACAATGAGGAGGTACGTTAGTCATTCCAGTGAAACGGTTGAGGTCTAGGTGTGCTGTCGCTCTCTTCGCCTGGGGCCATCCCTGCCAATACTTGCAGGTATTTACAGCTCACTGCCTATTTCCATGTGAGAGTTTCTGAAATCGTCTTAGTATTTCTGTCATATTGCTACAAGGTCTAGCAGGATTTTTCTTCTTGCTTATATGATTCCATACAGGCCTCTCATTAAATGGGCTGCAATATCTCAATACTGTGAGCAATTAAATGGCGTGTAGCTGGGAATGAACAAGTGAGAATGGTGCTGCTGGCAGCCTACAGCCATCAGATGAGCTAACTTGTCTTTATTTTGAGTCTGATGGAATGCCATTACTCAAGCCCACGTATGTGGTATTTTTGTAAGTGGTAGAATGACCACTGTGGGAACCTGTCCAATGAAATGCTTCTGCTCATATTCTTGGCAAATGGAGCCCCCTGTCCCCCATTCTCTGTCCCTTTATCTACCACTTTCTTTCTCCCTCACACAGGGTGTCAGGCTGCGTTAACAATGAATCAATCTTTGGGGGGATTCTTTGACTGCAGATGGGGTGAAGAAGTGACTGGGATGCATAGCTTTCGCTCTTTGTCTGCCGGCCCCTGTGCTCTCAATAATTCATTAACTTATCACTTTTTCTCATGGGACCGGGAGAAGTCTCTCTGTGGTGGCAGATTCTGTGGTTACATCAGATCCTCTGATTGATAATCGAATAAGCATTTATTTAGCGGCATCGCTGATATTTAGTTAATACACATAGAGGTTCATTTTGGTGTTGTTGATGTATTTTTGCATCCTGTCGACAATACAATAAAAATGTAAAGTACATTTTCTGTGAAATAGTTAGGAAACAGACTCTATATATACTAATATTATATATATATATA